GTTTTTAAATTAAGATTTTAAATATATACATACACAGACACACACACACACACATGATTTATACCCAAAATATATTGTTCCTCTCCCTATAGTGGATGCTAGTGATAGTCCTTTAGTGACTTCAAAGTTACAATGGCCCTGAACAAGTGACTTATGGCTGCATTTTGTACTTTTCACCGATTTTAGCATCCCCATGGTTGTGTGATCAGGTTCACTTCCGTTCCTGGAATAGAGAAAAATATGTTTCAACAAGCATTAAGGAATGTATCCATATAGGGCAGGGGCATCCAAATTTGGGGACTTCAACTCCCAGAATTCCCCAGCCAGCATGGGAGTTGAAGTCCACAAGTCTTAAAAGTTCCCAGGTTTGGACATCTCTGATATAGGGAATATGCCAAGAATATAGCGCCACCCGGACCAGATGGTCTACTCCGGGGAGGGGAACGGTAACCATGGGGATGCTAAAATCGGTGAAAAGTACAAAATGCAGCCATAAGTCACTTGTTCAGGGCCATTGTAACTTTGAAGTCACTAAAGGACTATCACTAGCATCCACTATAGGGAGAGGAACAATATATTTTGGGTATAAATCATGTGTGTGTGTGTCTGTGTATGTATATATTTAAAATCTTAATTTTAAAACCAGATGTTAGTAGTTATAGTCATTTATTTATATGCCACTCTGTTAGTTGGGCTGCCGCATAGATCTCCTTCATGACAAAAAAACATAAATGCAGTTCTGGATCAGGTCCATCTAACAACAAAATGATTAGCCAGTGGGATGTCTAGATACAACACCAAACACAAAGCTTGAGTAGAAAAAAATGCAGTGATTGTGACCATTGAGCCTTAATAATCTGCATATATCTGTCCAACCCCTTTTAAAATTGTCCAATTACTACTCTTTGTAGGATAATATGTAGGTCAACTGTTACATGTTTTAGAAAAATTGATTTTATTTGTCCTAAATCTCCTCCCATGTAGTTTTATCCTACAATGTCCCATTTTTGTACTTGGAAAGAAAAAAGCATGTGGGTATTTTCATTGCCATATTAGAGATAAAAAGCTCGGGGGATTATTCTGGATAAATTCATATTTAAAATGCTACTTGAAATGTGGACTTTATAAATTAGGACTTTTTAGTCCTCTGGAGTTCTCTTATCAGTTTAATTAACCTAGTTTTTATCATAGCTTGGGAAACCTAATTACGTAGTACTTTTCTTTGATGGTATATCAAACAACGTAGTGATATCTTTAAACTTTCATGTCACTTGGATCAATTATTAAATATATGTGTGGAAATGTAACCACTTGTCGCCTGGATCCATCTTATTGACAATTGCTAAATGATCACGAGTTTCTATTTCTTCCAATACAGCTAACATTTTTTTACTATTTGTAAAATAAGCTTTTGACTGCTCCGATATTATAACTATGGGGGTTTTACTATGATCTTTATTTGCAAAGCATCATTGGGGGGGGGGGGTGCTTCCCCAGTAGGTCAGTGTCTGTGATCCCACTGTTCTGTAGGTATTCCCATTACAAATAGTATTTTCTGGTGTAATTTTTAAGAAGTTAAACTCATACTCAAAAGATATTTACATATAAATATATAGCGTCTATAAGACAAGCTTATCCAGGAGTTAACAGCCATACTTTACTCAATCCAATTGTCTAGTCAATAAAAGGTATAGGTAAANAGATAGATAGATAGATAGATAGATAGATAGATAGTTAGATAGATATGGCTGTCCGTGTGTGTGTATGTTCCAGCATAACTCTGGAACACCTCGAGCAATTTCAACCAAACTTGGTACACAGATTACTTACTCTCTTGAAACAAATACGGTGGGGGGGTTAGACATTCTACTCCCCCTCCCCACCTGAAAAGAACTCTGTTCCAACTGCCACTTGGGCGTGGTCAGCATGTGACTCATCCGGCCTGCAGGCTGGGAGTTTAGACATTCTACTCCCCCCCACCTGAAAAACACTCTGATGCTAAGGAGTTAGACTGAGGGAAAGAAGGGGATAAGATAGGTGAGGCCTCTGTAGGCTAAGCCTGAGGGGGGAGAAGGGGAGAGGGGAGGCCAGTCGTAACTACTCATTTATTTTCAAGCTGCTAAGTGTCGATTTATCAAGCCTGATCACGCAGTTTCATAGCGGAGCATGGGTATTCAGCTAGTAACTTAATAAAAATGTTAACCGTTAGAGATTTGCCGGTAAGAGGGACGAGAACTTAGAAAGTCAGATCAGTAAAACCCTGTTGGACTTCGATTGAATTCTGATGTCTCCTCGTCAAGTTTTGCATCCTACATTTCTAAGCTCCTCCCAATCCTTGCTTCCCTCCCTAGGGCTCCCTGATCTTGTGCCGGATCCAAATTATGTCCAAGCATCCACTTACGTTCAGAGAGCTCACCTCTACTCACTCCGTTGCGCAGCTGAAGAGAAGTGCCTCGCAAGGTAACCCTCTCTCCATGTTCTCTTCTTTCCTTAATTGTTCATTCATTCGTTTGTTTGTTTGTTCGTTTGTCCAAGCAAGACACAGCATCATTGGGTTGTAGGCCAACCAATTAGGAGCGATTTTTACAAGGAAAAAAAATCAAACTGGCCACTCTAACCAATAAGTTATCATGGATATATTATCTATCATTCTATCCAGCCCACTATCATTCTGTCTTTTATCTGTCATCTCTCATCTATATTTCCAGATTTTATTTTATCATTTTAGCTATAATTCTATTGAGCTATTTCACTGTCAGGCCATCTATCATTCCAGATCTTTCATTCTAGCTTTAATTCAATTGATCTATTTATTAATCTATCCTCTCTCATCTCTCATTCCTGATTTTATCTATCATTCTAGCTACAATTCTATTGAGCTATTTAGCTATCATGCCAGAACTTTATCATTCTAGCTATAATTCTATTGATCTATTTATCTATCCTCTGTCATCTATCATTCCAGATTGTATCTATCATTCTAGCTATAATTTTATTGATCTATTTATTTATCCTCTGTCATCTATATCTCCAGATTTTATCTATCATTCTAGCTATAATTTTATTGATCTATTTATCTATCCTCTCTCATCTCTCATTCCTGATTTTATCTATCATTCTAGCTACAATTCTATTGATCTATTTATCTATCCTCTGTCATCTATATTTCCAGATTTTATCTATCATTCTAGCTNTTCAAAGGCCTCCATTCTTTGGCACTCAGCCTTCCAACTTTCACAGCCATCCATTGCAACTGGGGAAACCACAGCCTTGACTAGACACACTTTTGTTGGCAGGGTGATGTCTCTGCTTTTTAGTATGCTGTCTAGATTTGGCACAACTTTCCTCCCCAAGTCAATACCTATCCTATCGTACGTTGGAAACATTCTGGAATTCCCTGCTTTAATGCCGTTGAAACCTAGTTGAAGACTGAATCTTAAAAAAGGAAACATGCATTGCAACTGGGAAAACCACGTTGATTCTATGCTGTGGTTTCTATGCTTCAAGTGATCGTCCACTGGATCACTTCCAGCACCCTGATTCCGTCTTCTAAGATTCAGCTCATCTAGTTGTGATCATTCATCTACCTAAGACCCTTATGGAAGAAATCTCGGGGGCTTCAGGAAGAAGTCTCCCTTTGGATTATTATTGATATTTTGGCGGCGACAACTCTGTACTCAAACCAACCCAAAATGGGTTTTTCCCCTCCCTTCCCAACTTTCCCCCCCTAATTCTCCTTTGACTTGTCTCAAAGTAAGGCTCCCTTGGGCCTGACATCAGCAGAAGGCATCAATTGACAGAGACAGGAAACAAGAGCTAAACTGGTGACGTGATTCCTTCCACGGAGACCGGTCAGGGAGAACAAGAAGGCATTGTTCTTTTTTTTTTTGCTTGTGGAAAAACCAGTCGGGGGAGCCCCGCGGGGCGCTTGTCAAAACCCACAGCAGAGTTTTTGGGATCCACCTTGACTAATCTCTTTGACATGCTGGCTCGGTTCCTTTTTGCACCGAGTCTCTTGAGAGATATGTTGGGGGAGGGAGGGGGGGGGGGGGAGAGAGAGAGAATAAAGTGTCTTGTCAGCATCTCTTCATGCCTTGCTAGGGCCTCTCTTAAGGAGACAGGAGTCAGCCCTTTGGAGGAGGGGGGGGGTGTATCTTGATGTGCTTTGAGGAAGGACATCTGAAAGTACAGAGAAGGACCGAAAAGTGAGGAATGGGAAGCTTTAAAATTTGGTTGCATCCAGTTTTGGTGGCCTCTATCTATCTCTATCGCTATATCATCATCTATCTATATCTATCTATCTCTATATCATCTATCTCTCTATGTCTTATCTATCTATCTCTTTATCTATCTCTCTATCTATCTATCTCTATCTATCTCTATCTATCTCTATCTATCTCTCTATCTATCTATCTATATCTATATCTCTATATCATCTATCTATCTCTATCTATCTCTATATATCATCTACCTCTCTCTCTCTCTATCTATCTATCATCTATCTATCTCTCTATCTCTATCTCTATCTCTATATCTATATCTATCTCTATCTCTATCTCTATATCTTCTATCTATCTCTATCTATCTCTATATATCATCTACCTCTCTCTCTCTCTATCTATCTATCATCTATCTATCTCTCTATCTCTATCTCTATCTCTATATCTATATCTATCTCTATCTCTATCTCTATATCT